AATGTAGTTCAGTGGTAGAGCACTTTCCTAGCATGCACGAGGTTCTTGTTCAATTCCAACCCTCTCCCCCCCACCCCAAACATACAACCACAATTTGGTAAACCAACAGATAAAATACTTCTCAGAGTTGAAGGGTCAAAGTAAATGAGATTAAATGACTTAATAAATATCACACAGCAGGTTTGTAAATAAATACGAGTTTCCCAGCTCCTAGATCTGTGGCTTCTTACAAAGTAAGGCTTTTCTGACTTTAGAGGATGGAAGAGTACTTCCAAGGGACCCATCATTACACTGTGTGATTACCATGAAATAATTAATATCCTTTTTTAAATATTTGTATTTTAGTTTTAGATGGACACAATATCTTTATTTTACATTTATGTGGTGCTGAGGATCCAACCCAGTGCCTCATGCATGCTAGGCAAGCACTCTACGACTGAGCCACAACCCCAGCCCTTAATATCTCTTTTTTGCATTGCTTTGAGGCTGTTTAAAAGAACACTGAAAGATATTGACAATATAGTTTTTTTAACTCTTAATTTTTAAAAATTGAGTTTTTGCAGCATTTTAGCTTCATTGAATGATGACTTGGGTAAAATTTATCTCCATACAATCTTTGTTTCCTCCCTATGTCAAATTAGACTCAGTTATAAATTATAGAAAACCTGTAATTTTATGACCTAAACACACAGAAGTTAATTCACTCACATGAGCAAACAAAGGCAGGGAAGTCCCAGGTTTCCAGTGTGAAGATCAGAAAATGACCACCCAGGCACTGAGAATCACATCTGTGTTTCAAATATTATGAAATACAATTGGAGAAGCAGGAAAATTAATCATCAATTTCCTTACAGACTCAGAAGTCTCATCTATAACATTTTCACTTCTTATTGGTCAGAATTTAAAACATGGTCACATTTAGTTCAAGGGGTTGGGAAATAATGGTCTCTCAGCTAGGCACAGAGCCACTCTTAATGAAATAAAATGGATATAAACCTGTCAATCTTTTTTTGCATGATTTCCAGGTCAAAAAAAAAAATAATCTTGATAGAATATATTTGCTTAATATAAATAACTGGATCTGACAACATCTTAGCCACACCTGTGATATTAGAAGTCAGCTACACCCACGAATTTAAAGTTTTTAGAGCATGCATGGGGATAAATTGGTTTAGTAAGCAAAGATTACATCAAGGCACCTACTTGTCAAAATGATCTCAGGACTTTTTACTCAACTATCAGGGATATTTACATTGGTTTTCAAACATAATTTGGTAAATTTGTTGGATAGGCTTGACCAAAAATAATATGATTTCTTAATTATAGGTTATCAAAATAAATTTACTCTGTAAAGTGGAAATGAATACATGATTTTCTTAAATTTGATTTATTTTTTGTCATTGTAGACCCTCCAATATGTGGTCCCAGTAATTAAGTGTAAATCAGTGTCCAGGGTGGTGAGGATATACAGAGGCAGGAGTTACTGCCCTATGAGAGGTGAGACTCCTTAGGTCCTGAATTTGGGTCTAACTGAACCAGGACAAACTTGCTTCCCTGTAGGTTGGTCATGAACCTGCTGCCTTAGGCTTCCTGCGTTGTTCCTTCTAATTGACTAACTATCATGTTCACCTACTAGTTTTGGGTGCTTTTCATCTCACTTAACTATTCATGCAGTGCTTATCAAAGTTGCCAATGCATGCATACCTCCTGGAGATCATGTTAAAATGCAGATTCTGATCCCACAGGGCGGAGTGGGTCTCAGGAATCCACTACCCCGAGTGCTGTTGGGCTGCATAGCACACTAGAAACCTAAGAGCTGGTGCTGAGGAGAAAGATGTCACAAGGACAGGCATTCTCAGACTTGATAGGACATCAGAAACCCCCTGGGATCTGGTTAAAACAGCCTGGAGCTTCCTCTACAGTATATGTGGGCAAGGGATCCAGGAATTTGCATTTCTAACATACCAACGAAGTGTAGGGAAGATGCTGATCCTATTGGTCCAAGAATCACATCTGGAATCAGTGGTTTAGAATTTTAGTATAGGGGTTGAGGGTTTTTGAGGGGTTTTTTTAGAGTTCAGGTTTAGATCAGTGTTGTAGCTCAAGGGTAGAAAGTGAGGTCTGGAATTAAATCCCCAACAGAAATTTAATTTTTTTTCCTTAACTATGGTACTCCTAGAAGAGAAATATGGTAGGTCTAGAATAGCTGCACATCCTTGTAGGACACCTACCATGGATAAAATGTCCTAATGAATTTCCATTATAAAGGAGACTGAAAGTTTATCCCCCCTTTAGTTACCCTTTAATTCCTAATTATATATTTTCAGGAAGGCAAAAGCAAATAAAGGAAATCTTTTCATTTCCACTTTGGATGAGTGTTTGTTATTTTGTTTGTAAATTTTTTCTTGAACTTCACTGGTTGAAATAACTCTCCATCTATCTTAAGTGTGAATTCTAGATAAAAGCTCATGTTTCTAAAATGAAGTCTTGACTTTTCATTTTAGTATTAATAATTGTCATTTAAAAATTCCTAAAACATGGACAAAAAAATCCACAACTACAGATCTCGATTGCACATTGACAATTATATGAGAGTTTTTTTTTTTAAATCCCGTATTCTCAGGTAAAATGCAAATCAAAGGAGGGCCACATTTGTTTTTTTGTTTGTTTTTTTGTTTTTTTTTGGTTTTCCACCAAAGTTAGGGAATAAGCAATATCTAATTCTGAAAACTCATTGATTAAAGGGTATTTTATTTCCATCAATCAAAAGCTTACCTTAAGAAATAAAAACTTTAAAAATCATTTTTTTCATAAAATATACATTTTGAATGTACTTCACACATTTGTTTTCATAGAACTTTTATACTTAGTCTCTGTTTATATATTTGAAAGCAGTTATTATCATATTGTTGGTACTAAAGATTTGAGGTAAGTATAATTTTTTATCTTTTATGCAAACAATATCTATTCCAAGAGTTTTAAAGCCCTATAAAATATGCAAGGGCATTATACCCATCCTTAGTAATGCTATCTCCTGCTATGCTTCTTTTTCCTTTTCCATATCCAAGCAAAAAGACAAAGGCAGTGTACGATTAAATTTATTTGGTCAGACACTTTCAGATTTATTAGCGATAAAAGAGGCTAGATCAATGCAGCAATGTAGTTAAGATTTTCAATGGGTTAAAACTTTCATAACCAATACATTTTCAGAAAGGATCAAGAACATCCTCAACCCGAAAACACCTAGTTTGAACATTTTCCCAATAGCACAACATATGGCATTTTCTACAAATAAACATATACATAGATATCAGGTTTTATGAAATGCTTTTAATAAAGTCAGGAGGAATTAAAAGTTCAAAGTTAGGAAGTGTTTAATGAAACTCTAAAAAATTACAGGGATCAATTTTCATCTACGTGGGGTTCTCATGGAATTTTTTTACATGAAATGTTTGAAATCTGAATCAAGATGAGAAAATTTGAATTGTTTTTTCCCTTACTATAGACTTAAGTATGACTATTAGCTTGTGAATTGACAATTAGCTGACAACTTATATGAAATATAGCATTTTATTAACAAACTAATTTATTAGCAGTCTGGTGGAGTTTCACAAATTTCACCAATCATACAATTTATACTTACTTTGTGCATAAACAGAAAATGATTTTGAATTGCTGAAATAAATCAAACAACAGTTATAGGTTCTCTGTGATATTATTATTATTATTATTATTATTATTATTATTATTATTATTATTTTGTACCAGGAATTAAACCCAGGGGAACTTTACCACTGAGCTATATCCCTAGTTCTTTTTATTTTTTTTTATTTTGAAACAGGGTCTCACTAAGTTGCTGAGTCTGGCCTCAAACTTATGATCCTCTTGCCTTAGCCTCCCTAGTCACTGGGATTACAGATATGCACCACTGTACATGGCTGCGAGACACATTTTAATAATACTTATAAAATCCAAACTACTTAATACAAAATTCATTTCCCACATTTAAAAAATATTTTTATAATACTTTTAACATGCCTTTGCTTGCTAACTGAGAAATCTAACTATGGACATTAATTGTACTTTTATGTTGAGTTATAAATTTCATTTTCCATACTTAAACAAGCATAAGAGAAATATGAAGACAAACAAACACATATAAATTTACATTCAGCAAACAATTTTTAATTTCTCAGAGTATATTCTATACCTACATCTAATAATATAATTGACAATATTATGATATGTCTAAATTTATAATGCTATACTTAAAATTTTTTAAATGCATGTTATTTTCAGAGTAACATGTATGTAAGTCATAAAATGAAAATTACATTACACCCTCAAATTGTCTTATAATGGTTATAAAAATCACACATTATGGATATCTTATAAAATCAAATCTAACTTATTAAGACTACATTTTGTTCCAATATCCAATTTTCTATCAAAAAGCACCTTTTCTAAGAAACTGAGAATAAGAGACCATTCACAATATTTAAAACAGTTATCACTCATTTTCAATAGTTAATAAATTTTTAAAAAAATAGTTTTGTTTGAATGAAAAATTGCCCCATGATATATATTACTATTGTTTATAGATTCAGAATTTGCCACAAATGACTAATAAAATATTATTTAAATATGTAGTTTCCTCTAAATCAATAAAACATGATATTCTATTAATATGTTATGCCTTCAAAATAACTTATTTACTTATGTGTTTGTTCATTTATCTACTACTCAACAAATTTTTTGTCAATGTTGCTCTAATAGATTTTAATATTTTAACATATGCAAACCAAACACTATTTCTAATTTTCTAGTTTTTAAAATAATTACCAATGGAGAATGAGCATTAAGTTCCAATATGAATGCCAACTCAATTTTTGGCATGTTCAAAGTGCTAAGCCCTGTCAATCAGGGCTACAGCCTAATGCTTTCAGGGCTTGTACAAATAATTGAAGATGTGAGGTGGTTGCTGCAGAGATGGTGGGTCTGTGTCAAACTACATCACAAGTGTTCTTGCCAAGGCATTCGTACAGGTTTTTTTTTAAGCCAAGAGTCTATCTGGGGACAAATGGAACATATTTATGAGTTGAAGTCAACCCATGGGCATTAGGTTAGACAGTCTTTCATAGAAATCCTCTCCTATCCTCCTTGGCAAATCTCTGCAACTCAAGTTGCTGTGAGTTGTCCTGTTCTATGTCTTTCCAACAATCCTAGAATCTGTAGGAACCTTATGACACCTCAGTATGAACTAGATCCAAACCCTAAGTCCTGAAGGCTCCCAAAGAAGCAGTGCTAGAAACACCACCTCTGAGGGGTGGAAAGTATGGAGAAAGGAGCTTTTATACCCAACAGAAGGCTGCACCTGAGAACATTTTAAAATCCTTCTTAAACCAGTCAGGTAGAAAGAAAGCAATTCTCTGGCACTAGAGAAAATATTTATAAAAACATAATTCTCCCCAAGATGTTAAAGAAAGTATTTAATTTGTACAGCTAAAAAAAAAAAAAAGTCATTTCTGATTAGCCTCCACAATACCCAACTTTCCCACATAGTCTTTCATAGCACACAAAGTAGCCTAAGTTTTCAAATACCATGGAAGATGCCAGAATGCACACCGTGCAGTCCCAAAGGGGCCGTATATACATGCATGTGAAAGAAAATAAACAATGAAAACTTTATGTCTAGAGAATATAAAAATTCTATCAGACAAGGAGAATTTAGGGGAGCCTCATAGTTACAGTACCCTTGTCTATGAGACTTGAAGTTTGTCTCCAATAAACAAAATAATTAGCAGATGCTGCTATCAGTTTACATTCAATAAACTCTTACAAATGTATCAGTAGATGTTACTCCATAAAAAAACAACAACATTTATTTCTGTACACACGTCTTTGCCAATGTCCTAAATTTGGGTTCCAGGTGATCTAGAAACTCCAGCCCTTCTTCTTCCAGCCGATCGCTGCAGCACCCTACCGAGCCGGCCATAGAGCCTTTGCCTTCATAATTGTAAGAACGAACGTAATCTTCAGAATGTTTGTGTTCCTCATCTTGTCCGCACAGGTACACCTTCTGTTTTGAGAAAGAGCACATTTTATTATTATTTTTTTAAAAACACCTAAACATATTAGCAGAAAAATGATGTCTTTGATTTACCTTTTACTGTTTAATTTTTAATCAGAGTGTGTCCTCTAATGGATTCCTACATATAAAAAATGCACATGATTGGTCTGTATTCTATTCATTTTTAAAATATAGCAAATAAATAAATGCTCCCAGTGAACACATTTGTAAAATTAAGGCTTTATATACATCACATGACTTAAAATTTCCCATTTGAAAATAAATGCGTGTAGTAGACATTTACCTCTGTAGCCTTTTCACATATATGAGGAAAACCAATATAGGCTAGGATTCTTAGAATACACTATTGTAGTATAATAGTGTCATATATTGTACTGGCTAATATCAACCTGTACTGACTAATCTGAACACAAAACAATCAAAGTAATGAAATAAAACCCAGAATACAAGTTCAAAAATCTACCCGGTTTATTTTGATAGCCAGGACTTCATAACTACATGCAGAACTCAAATACACTGACAATTATTGATAACTCATGATCTGTTGTTTATAACACATATTTTACTCCAGATTTTTTTTCTGGTACTTTTTAGGAAAGAAGGTTTCAGTCTTAAATATATCTATGTATGTCACTCCTAGATAAAGTCTTGTAAACTGTATTTTTAAAATTTTCAGAACTTTTTGCTTTGAGGTTTGGACCTGACATCCATCTATATGACAATTCCTTCAACATTAGGAAAGTGATATGTTGCAGGTGTATGAGGAGTAAAATTGGGGGGAAATACTGGGTCATAAATGATGTCTAACTTTCATGTCACGTGAACTTGAAGACACTGGGACTTACTTCGCCAAGACGAGGTTGGGTGAAACTCTGCCAGTCCGTGTACGCATATCTGCCGGTGTCTACACCTCCCTGCCCTACTCCCTTGCTGGACTCCAAGGTGTGATGGCCTTTGTTGGAATCCAAAGTGTAGCCTCCTTTGACCATCTCAAAACTTTGCTGTGTTTTGATTCCCTGGCCACCAAGAGTACCAACAGACATGCTTGTGTCACAAATGTTGGATGTCTGTGTGGGGATCCTAATATTCGCTTCCTAAAAAATAAAAATGAGAGTTATAAGATGAATCCAACTGAAAGTCACAGTTCACTTTCATTTCGAATTTTTCACCACAGACATAGCTCTTACTTTCTGTGCCCCAGTGGTCCCAAATCAGGATTACAGCAATAGACACATCATAGGTGTTAGGGTGTAAATGGAGTCCCTAAAACCTCACATGGAGAGGTCCTTACCTCCAGGACCTAGAATGTGACCTTAGATAGAAATAGAGTCATTGTAGATGCAATTGCTTAAGTTAAGATGAAGTTATACCAGATTAGGTGAGTCCTTAATCTGATATGGCCAATGTCCTTAGAAAAAGGGAGGTTTGGGTATAGGCACATGTCCAGGGAGAATGTCATGTTAACATTTGTGCTGCCATAAGCCAAGAAATTATAAGAAGCTAGACAGATAGCTGAACAGGTCCTTCCCTAGGGCCTTGAGACGGAACATGGCCCTACCAACACCTGTGTCTCTGATTTGTAGCCTCCAAAACAGTGAGACAAGTTTCTATTGTTTAAGTCACTCAATTTGCTATGCAGTCCTTTGAAACTAATTCAACAGATTTTGAAGTTTAAATGAATGAAAACACAGAACTTGGAAATCTGCTTGGCATGGTGCTCCATGAACATTACTGGTTATTATTGTTGCCATTATTACGAATCATCACACTGCTTCACTGGGTCACCACACAATTCAAAGGGAAGTTAAATCTGATTTACCGTCACTTCTTCTCCAGGTCCTTCAGTATTTGATACAATTAAATTTTGCTGTGCTACATCTTCTGGAAAACATTTCTTTACTGTCCTCTTGGTAGTAACACAGAAACATGCAAACATAATACCTAAAAAAAAAGGAAAAGATTGAAGTTAAATAGTATTTTTTTTTTCAATTTGGTATACACTAAATAATTTGATGATCAGACTGTTTTGAAGTTTCTTTGCACAACTTTTAAAAATGTATTCCACAAATTGAGGTCACTTCTGGTCATAAAATTTAAAGCAGAATATTTGTAAAATGCACTCACCTATAACAATCTCTGTCTTAGAGTAATAATATCTCTTTTCCTAGGTCCAAAATTATGTATCTCTTACATTCTCTATATTTTAAAAAATGACTTCATTTGAGCTTTAAGATAGTATTATTGGTCTTTGAAGTGATACAGAACACATTTAACAGACTTAGAACAACAAAACAAAAAATTTAGACATAAATATAAACAAGACAATAACATAAAACCAGTGTCTGGTTTTGAAAGTGTATATTAACTAATCTAGTGTTATGAGGAACATCCAGTTTATCCTGAAACTCAAATTCAAATGAATTAGGACACAGTAAAGGCTATGGGATAAGTTTGTAGATGCAATTGTTCTTTGTAGTCGAGAGACAGAAGCTGAAGTCTGAGAAAGGTTGCCATTAGTTTTGTGTCTTCAAACAATTATTTGTAATGGTTAGACCTGTGGTTCAGTGGCAGAGCACTTGGTTAGCATGCATGAGGCCCTGGGTTCATTCTCCAGTACTTAAAAAAAAAAAAATTTGTAGAATGCAAAATCTAAGTTTCCTTTGCTTGCATTATGTCCCCTTAGTGGTTCAACATATAATCATTTTTTTCACTCATTGGGAACTTCTTATGATATGTACTAAATCACTTTATTACTAGGATGAAACACAAATATCTAGAATTTTAGAACTACCTTATCTTCTTGTATTTATGTATTCTCTATGTAAACGTGACTACTGCTTGGAAGACTATATTTTATATGGGAGGGAATCTTAGTAATTTTATCCAACTTCTACATTTTACATATGAAAAAAATGAGTTCAAAGAAGAAGAAACGTGAAACATTATTGAAGAACTGAGGCTCCTGCCTTTGGAATTTACTTTAAAAATTTCAATCTACTCTTATTGGTATGTTTTTCTTTTGACTTAGAGCACATGTATCAAAGGTTATACAGGTAATTAATTTGAAGAATGGTCATATTATTTTTTTCTAAATTACCATGATCTGGATTAAGTATCCTCCTCCAAAGGCTGTGCATTAAACTCTTGGCCCTCCAGCTCATAGAGCTATTAGAAGATTGGAATCTTTAAGATGTGGGGCCCAGAGGGAGGAAATCCAATAATTGGGAGTGACCTTGAAGGGGATATGAGGACTCTGGCCTTTTCCTGTCTTCTTTACTTCGTGGCTACCACTAGGCAAGCAGCTTTGTTCCAGCACATGTTCCACAGCACAGGCCCCAAAGCAATAGAGCCCGTTGACCATGGACTAAAACCTCTGAAACTATGAGCCAAAATAAATCTTTCTTCATTATAAATTGTTACCTTTGGTGATTTTGTTATAGTAATGGAAAATCAACAGAAATATTAGGTAAAACATGGGTTAACAAATTCTATATGATAATACTTACACAATAATAATGCAGAACCCAACACCATGGCAAGAATAGCCCATTTTCCAAGTATAACATTTCCTGGTTTAATATCTCTCTCATCTTTAACAGCCATTCTACAGTCAGATGGAGTTGTGCAGTCACATATTCTCACTGACAACACATGTTTTGCAGACAAACCATGTCTGTCTTGGATTTGGATAGGCACAGAATAATAGTTGTAATCAAGATTTTGCTTTGCACGAAGAACACCTTGTTTACCTAGGGAGGAAAAGGTAGAAATAATATATATTGATATGACCTTTCCATAGCAATATTATTCCTACTTGGTATCCTTGGGAATGGAGGTGGGTATACTTGAAATAAAACTCTAATGTTTCTTCCTTATCTGTTTATTTTTTGAATGGTGTATTATCATTATATATAAAAGTAGAATTTACTGTGATATGTTCGTAGATACACATGATATAGTTTGGCTAATTTCATTCTGCTCTCCTCCTCTTTCTCAAACTTTCTCCCTCCCCCTCATTCTTCAGCTTCTCCACTGTTCTTAATTGTGCATTTTTCTTTCTTAAAAATTATTTTGATTTTACAGTAAACCAGGAAATCAAATTTCATTTTATTTTGTGCTCACATTAGATTAACCCAAACTTAATATGTGATTCAAGTAATCATTTAAAATGTATTCATAAATTTTCTTAGGAGATTTACAATAAGAACCTAAGCATAACATATATATATATATATATATATATA